GCCTACAAACCTCAACCCGTATTGCACTAAACCCCTAAACGCAATGGAAAAATGAGAACTATAAGTTACTTGTCCGAACAGCAGAGGCCTAAGAAAGCGAATAGGCTGCTCCCGTCTGTTTTATAACTTTGTGACGCCAAGTTTTCCAGGTTTTTGGGTAGCCTTAAGCCTAATAAAAATGTATATAACGCCCACCCTGGGCCTGTCACAGTCACATAAGTCACATTGTTTGTAAGTCCAGAAGGGGTATAGTGGTTTGTTGTGATAATGGTTGATGTTGGGTAGTGAGGAAGAGGATAGGGACTGATGAATGAGATTGATGGTGTGCAGATAGAAACAGAAGGACATAGACAGTATCTCAAATAAAGACAGCATAAACGAAGCACAGAACATGAGCAGTGTAGAAAAATGACCATCATCACTTCTTGTTTTCACTTGGCAGGTTGATATTCCATTGTTCTTTGCTGCGCTGGAGCATCACCCTCCCATCTGTTCGGCCTTGTTAAAGACAGTCATTCCAGTGGCTCCAGTAAAAATTGATGCTCTATTTTACAAGGTAATGTCAGACGCAACTTTGGTGGTTCTTAAATAAAAACTATTTTCAGAAAGGAAATGAAATGAAATGATGTTTGAATAATGCGGATACAAACAATACATTGCACAATCTTTTTGCACAACAGATGTAACTCTGTAGTAATGCACCTGATGAGATACAGCGAAATATGCCTTGCAATATGAATGTATTAAGTGTTGCTTTTTATTTTATGGTGATGTAACTCTGTAGTAACGCATCTGATGAGATGCAGCGAAATTTGCCTGGCAATAAATTGTGCAATGTATTGTTTGTATCCGCATTATTTAAATTCATTACGGAAAACATTGTTTTGAAATGATGTTGTTTTCAAGTGATGTTTTCAAATAACAAAAATATATGTGGTTATACTGCATTATACTATATTGGTAGACAATAAATCGAATGGTTTGGCCTTGTAATAAGACACTGGCATCAGACAGGGCACCACAAAGAGGAATACTAGCTACACAGATACAACAGTAACAGAGCCAGAGGTTGACCACTCAGAATATGGACCGCAGAAATATCAGAGACACTGAAAAGTACTTTTTGCAAAGCGAACAAAAGTGGCCATTCCAGAGATCTCTTCCAGCCCTGACGCTGCTTCCAGCCCTGACGCTGCTTCCAGCCCTGACGCTGCCTCCAGCCCTGACGCTGCTTCCAGCCCTGACGCTGCTTCCAGCCCTGACGCTGCTTCCAGCCCTGACGCTGCTTGCAGCCCTGACGCTGCTTCCAGCCCTGACGCTGCTTCCAGCCCTGACGCTGCTTCCAGCCCTGACGCTGTTTCCAGCCCTGACGCTGCTTCCAGCCCTGACGCTGCTTCCAGCCCTGACGCTGCTTCCAGCCCTGACATTGCTTGCAGCCCTGACGCTGCTTGCAGCCCTGACACTGCTTCCAGCCCTGACACTGCTTCCAGCCCTGACGCTGCCAAGCATTCCAGGATTATAGGAAAGAAGAAGAACTGCATGAAGGAAGAATAAAAAAAAAATACTGTTAAAAAACAAAGTACATTCATTACCTGCTGCCTGTGTAGTATAGAAGGAATGAAATGGTATGATAGATTCATTGAATGAGGAACTTTGGGAGAGCAGCAAACATTTTGCAGTGAATGAAGAGGTGAGAAACAGATATTGGTGTTGCACAGGACATTCATGGAGCTGCACAGGACATGTGTCCTACATCTACAGCTCCTGTCTCCTACATCTACAGGTCCTGTCTCCTAGTCCTGTCTCCTACATCTGCAGCTCCTGTCTCCTACATCTACAGCTCCTGTCTCCTACATCTACAGCTCCTGTCTCCTACATCTGCAGCTCCTGTCTCCTACATCTACAGCTCCTGTCTCCTACATCTACAGGTCCTGTCTCCTAGTCCTGTCTCCTACATCTGCAGCTCCTGTCTCCTACAGCTCTTGTCTCCTACATCTACAGCTCTTGTCTTCTACATCTACAGTTCCTGTCTCCTACATGTATAGTTCCTGTCTCCTACATCTAGAGGTCCTGTCTCCTAGTTCTGTGTCCAACATCTACAGCTCCTGTCTCCTACATCTACAGGTCGTGTCTCCTAGTTCTGTCACCTACATCTACAGCTCCTGTTTCCTACATCTACAGCTCCTGTTTCCTACATCTACAGCTCCTGTCTCCTACATCTACAGCTCCTGTCTCCTACATCTACAGGTCCTGTCTCCTAGTTCTGTCTCCTACATCTACAGCTCCTGTCTCCTACATCTACAGGTCCTGTCTCCTAGTTCTGTCTCCTACATCGACAGCTCCTGTCTCCTACATCAACAGGTTGTGTCTCATAGTTCTGTCTCCTACATGTACAGCTATGTCTCCTACATCTACAGCTCGTGTCTCCTACATCTACAGCTCCCGTCTCCTAGTTCTGTCTCCTACATCTACAGCTCCTGTCTCCTAGATGTAAAGCTATGTATCCTACATCTACAGGTCCTGTCTCCTAGTTCTGTGTCCTACATCTACAGCTCCTGTCTCCTACAGGTACAGCTATGTCTCCTACATGTACAGCTCCTGTCTCCTACATGTACAGCTATATCTCCTACATGTACAGCTATGTCTCCTTCATGTACATCTGCATATATTTTTAATGGAATAATTTATAAATTTCATAAAAGAACAGAACTGAAGTAGAAAAGATAATGTGAGAAATTATTTATACTATTGGAACAACACATGTAATTAAAGTTATTGAAAAACAAGATGTGAATTGTTTGGTCATTTGATAAGAATGAATTCAATGATGCCAGCAATAAGAGCATACAGCAGGAAGGTAGAAACACCAAGAGGTAAGGAACAAGCAATCATCTGTAAATCTGAGATGATTACTCACACAAAAGTCAAAGCAAAGGACCCATTGCCACGCCTTTCAGGTGTATCGGGCATATAGGGCTAGAACGATATTTTATAGACCAAACGGCACTTGGTGTGTGATGTGGTCACTACCAGGCCAGCCGCCTTTACTTCCCAGGAGTATACCTGGTACCTAGTCAAGGCCAGGTCGACCTGGGAGCCAAGACTCAAACGAAGCATTAAAAAAAAAAAAAAGAAGTGGTCATCAATTGTCGATGTATTCAGCATCTCACTGGTTGGCTTCACTTCACAGACATTACCTGGCACCTGTTTTAGGCTGGGTCAACCTAAGAGCCAAGCTCAATAAAAACAAAATATATGTCTCAGTGCAGATTTGGATCCCAGGCTTTTGGGGCAGCTGGCCAGCATGTGGCCTCATTGCTACCAGGGCTGCCACCGTAGAGTCTGACAACAGTGGATTTGTTTCTCTGTTCCAGGGACGCAATGTCTTGTTTCACTGTATAGAGAAGTGTGTGGGAGAGGAACTGGTTGAGTTCATTCTCAGCAAAAGCTCAGCCTACCTGGTGACCCAAAGAGTGGAGGTAAGATTGCATTAATTTCTTTAGGATTGACACAAATGCAACTGTACTCTTACTTTATGTATATTAACAGTGAAATAAATCTGATTTGAATCTTATATTATGTATGAATGGGACTGATAGAAATGTACCTAGGCTCATTAACATTTGTGCTAAAGAATTTCCTAGCAATTGGATGGGAACAAAAGACATAAAACTACCACTTATCTCAGCATCTGTTGCGGTGATGAGGAAAAGAACGTGACAGTTAACTCAGTATGTGCTGTGGTATTGAAAAACAGAAATGGCCAAAGAACTTCATATCTGCTGTGATGAGGAAAGGAATTGACCAATGAACTTTGTATGTCCCCCTTACATTTGTCATTATTACAGTTTGCATTAGTGATGGTTAGTGTTGCAAATTTTTGGAGAAATGTTCAGACAATTCAAGAAGCTTCATAAATAAATTCACAGGTTTTGAACAGTACTTGTTTAAGTAGAGGAAAAAAATACAAATAAGTAGATGTCATTAGCACCTTTCTGCTTTTTAGCGATAGTGAATTGATATGCATAGTAAAGAACTGTTTTCATGCCTTTAGGTGCATCGGGCATATGGGCAAAGTACCCAAATTGTTAAACATCAATCTGCACTAGGTGGGTAATGTGGTCAGCATTACACTGGCTGTCTTTACTTCCCCAGGACATACATCCTGGTACACAGTTTAGGCTGCGTCGACCTGCGACGTCCCATACTGTGATAAGAATTCAACAACGGGTTTCGATTGTGCAACATTGGAATTATGAGTCAGACTCGCAACACCTAAGCCACGGACGCCACATTGAGTTAAGGTCCTTTTTCCGTGCGCACAGGTGTTGTGGGCATATAGGGCTAGACATATATTGTGTATAGACAAATGGCACTTGGTGGGTGATGTGGTCATGCTGGTCGCCTTTACTTCCCATAACTGCATGTGGTATGCAAACAAGGCTTGGTCCACCTGGGAGCTATGGTCATTTGTTAAGAAAGCCTAATTCCATCAGGACCCGAACCTACAACCTTCCGATCCGCAGGCAAACATCTAGCCACCACAGCAACTCTCAGAAGCATACAAAATATAGACAGTTAAGGCCAGGGATGAACTTCCAACTCTTGGTTATAGCAGAAAGCCTGGGCAGTTTTGATGAGACCCTCTGTTGTACATACAGCACCATCCGTCACTTGGCCTACCTTGTTTACTGCACAGGAAAAGTAACACCACTAAGTTTGGAACAAAGCACGTAGCACAAGTTGCTGGAACAGAATAGTGTTGCTGTGTGCAACTATAAGGTTCTCTTTTGGACTGGCTGCCAACCAAAGCTAGAGATCTGGTTTGCCCTACCATAAACAGTAGATGTATCTCTTATGTGATTGTTAGTAATATTGTACAATATGGTGTGCACTAAGTGATAATGTACTATATGGTGTTCACTAAATGATAATGTACTACATAGGGTGTACTAAGTGATAATGTACTATATGGTGTGCACTAAGTGAAATTGAGCAAGATGGTGGCTAAGAAGTTGGTGGAGCAAGGCTTGAAACATGTGAAACAAATTTTGTCCGTTGATCGCGCTGAGGCAAGGCGAAGAGTCTTGAACTTGTGAAGGTGTGGTATAGACAGATTCCGTATACAGTGAAGGATTTTTACATACCCATAACTATTGAACAAGGTCGGGCCAAGGTTGGAGAGATGTTTCTGAAGAATAAAAATGTGACAGACATTTGGATTATTGACATGCTAGTTATAAAGGGTCAAATGGAGCTGGTGGAAACAGCAAACTTATGGAAGCAGCCCAATCATGTTATGATGAAGCCCAAACCCACAGACTTCCTGTGCAAGTTTTACGAGGGTCAGGAGTAGTTTGGTCAGGTTTCCATGAGACTATCTAACTTTCTTTGTAATGAACTGAGTGAATCTGTGGCTTTGCTTACTTCGTGGTTTTTGGAGCAGATTTGTGTAATAAATCCTTAATGTTTCCTTAGATGAATGCAGTGTAGACTATGAATAGATGATTTCTGCATCTATACTTGAGAAATATGATGTTTGCAGCTCTGTACACAATTAAATGATCCTGTATATGAAAAAAAAAAAGTGATATTGTACTATATGGTGTGCACTAATGTCTGTTTGTATGAATCCCTAGTTAAACCGATGTCCAAGAGAACTGGCAGAAGAAGCAGGCTACACATGGATGGTGCAAGCTATAGATGCTGTAAGTTGGTTGATGGTTGCCTGTGGCTCATCTTGAGGTCCAGAAGTTTGCATTTTTCTGCCTTTTCTTCCTTTGGTTCTTGCTATGAGTTTGTTTCTTTACATGTTTAGCTCCTTGTGGGCACCTGTGGCTTTGGTGTTGTGATCATAATTGTGTGGTAGTAGGTTTGATCCAAGCTGCGGGCAATTTGGCAACTGTTCAGAAAGCAGTGGTACACTACTGAACTTAAAACTACCCAGTGAAAGCACACACACAAAAATGCTGGTGTTGGTGATGCAGCAAAGTTTGGATGTTATTTTTGTGCAACTCATTTATAGTGGAGTTAAATATCTACTTCTTCTTGATTTATGTGAGGATTTAACTACACTGTATCTGTTTTTTAAATTCTAATTAAGGAGATTGAAATTAGAATTTTGAGAGCATGCATCTTCCCTTTGGCATCTCACACAATGTTCTGTACACTTTAAGTAAACAAAACATTTTACTAGACCACATCAGAAAAAAAGAGATTTGTCATAGAATGACCCAGCACAGCTATACACCTCTTTTAAGTACTGTAAAAAGACAGAAAATGTCACACACATGTAATAAGATCTAACAGCCTCTCAAAAACAACACTACAGGGAGGGGAAGAGAAGAAGAAGGGTCTGGATACAGAACTGGACTGACTGAGGCATGCAACCTTGAAGTCCATTGCAACTGACTGCCAAAGGCGGAGGAAGCTGATCAGACAGTTGACTGCAACTGGTGACCCAGCAAAAACAGTGTTACAGGATGATGATGATGGCGGTCACATATGAATAATTAAAAAGTGAATGTCAATTCGCTCACAATGAAACAAATAAAGTGAACATTTGTCCAGGCTGTGGTGAGGTGGGTCTACCAAGAAGACAGCCTAAACCGACAGATCCTCATTCTGCAAGGTTACCAATACATCTCCTCGGCTCTACAGGTGAGTCACAGGGGTCATCTACAGCATCATCATGTGTCATGTCAGTTAGCATAAGCTATCATGTTTTGCCATCTCACGTGATCACCAGAAACATAGATCAGGTAGATGTTGCTCCGTCTATCCCTCCGTGATATTCTTTACAATCTTCTCCAAAAGCACATCTGTTGCCCACAAAATACATTTGTTGTTGTTTATCTTCTTCTCTTCCACCTTGTACCTCAGCGAAGTGGTGGAGGGGTGGGGGCGGGAAGATGTAACGTTCGTTGTTGAGCTCTGCAGCTGGGAGAGAGCAGGAGCCTGGAGGAAAGAGTACAACTGGGAGAGACCAGAAGCCTGGAGGAAAGGGTACAACTGGGAGAGACCAGAAGCCTGGAGGAAAGAGTACAACTGGGAGAGACCAGAAGCCTGGAGGAAAGAGTACAGCTGGGAGAGAGCAGGAGCCTGGAGGAAAGAGTACAGCTGGGAGAGAGCAGGAGCCTGGAGGGAAGGGTACAACTGGGAGAGACCAGGCTGACTACAAGAAAGGCAATATAAACATAAAATGAAACTTACTAAGTAAGTATTTTTGTTGTTGCAAGAATAAAAAAACCGGCTTGTGTGCATATTGCAAGAATAAATCTATTGTCAGCTAATACAAATCTGTTCTCAGTGACTATTTACTGTTTTTCTTTACTGTTATACTTCACACAGGGCGGAAATGTACTGTTATACTTCACACAGGGCTGACATTCTTGTCCTCAATGGCATTCTATCATGTACAATTTGTTCAGTAGAATGTATGGAATCCAGTCCAGCAGCCTTGGCCTCTCTGATCTGTGGGTTTCTTGTGGGCATCCTCGCCATTTCCAAGTATTTGAATGTCCTTTTGGTGATTGTCGGTTAGCTTTTCTTCAGGATATGTCCATTGTAGCGTCATTTTCTCACCTGATGTATATCTTCTGTCAGTTGTTACATGATGTGTATGTATCAGTCCTGTCACTGGATGTGTATCCCTCCACAGAGCAACAACCTGAGAGAGAGCATGGCGGACACATTCTACAGATATCTGCCACTTTACCAGGTTAGTTTCATGTGTCATAGATGTGTCTGCCTATTCTTGACCATGTTGAACCTTCTGCAGATAGTTTCAGTTATAATTGGGGTCCTTGTAGGTTATGATGTTTACCTATACCTAAAACGTGTGCAGATCATCTTCACATTTTGCCCAGATGTGAAATAGATGGTAGACTATCTGAGATAATGATGCAGCATGTTTGTAGACAATAGTGAAATTGGGACAACATTAAAAAAAAAAAAAAAAAACTTTAGGAAAGTTAACAGGTGGCAAATGCCAGAAGCAGTCAGGCATGTCAGTCAAAAAGCACATACTGCAGATTTGCTGTAAGTAGGGAGAGGAGTTGAAGAAGAAGGAGAATGTGGAGGAAAAAGAAACAGAAGGTCTATTACAGAAGCTAAACAAAGTGAAGAAAATACGGTTTTTGTAGGGTTTACAAGACAGTAGCCAAGCAATGACATTTGCTGCAACAATTATTAATCTGTGATTCATCACTGCAGATGTGTTTTTCTTAAACTTCAGGAGCAGGTGAGTGCTCTACACAAGGCGGTAGAAGAGTGTGATGAGGAAACTGTGAGACACATCATTTACTTCCGGCATCCAGATGACCACAGCCTTGACCCTTGCCTTGCTGACTGTAGAAGACCTGTAAGTTTTCTGGCAACAATATTTGAGATTTATATCCTCCAGTTGGTCTGCTCAATGACGTATTAGTTCAAATTCATTTGTTACTAGATTAGCTCTGATATAAAAAAAAATGAAACACAATCATGGGTATACTAAGGCCACAGGAGGTAAATGCCTAATCCTGATAGGAGTCTTGTGCGTTGTTGGGCGTTGGACTGTGCCCTGTCGGAACATAAAATATACAAGCATAATCATATGTTGACTGGGACATATGATAGTAGTGTAGCCTATCATTTATGTCATGAAAGGTTTGTAAGAAGGATGGTTTAACTTTATAGATGAGTTTTCCTCTGAAAATCCAGTAGGCGATTGACAAATAATGAGATGTGTTGTGTATACAGGTATATCTTATCTTCTTCTTACACCATGTGGCGTAGGTAGCCATGTTTCTCCACAGCGTTCTGTTTATTATATTCACTCAACTCTGAGACAGATGATCTTGCATGCCATAATGTCAAACAATTGTTCTCTCAGTCTCCCTGTCCTCCCCTCCAAGTTTCATACTGTCATGATGTACTCCAGTTTTCTCCTGTCATGACCAAAGAATATGTCTCTTTCTGATGTGGGCAATCAGTTGTCTTCAGGAGCCACTTCATTCAAGACATGCTTCTTACTATTTTGAACGTGTTCACGTTTTGTATATTTTTTATATGTCTGAAAATTAATGAGATCTCCCCTGTATGATGATAGGGCTTATAAAGTTGAGATTCACAAAGGTGGGGGGAAGAGACCAGAGGAGAGTGAAGCAAAGGAGATGGGGAGGACATGGGGGTGAGTTACATCAAGAATGGGACAACTCAACATGAACTGGCTGAGGGTCTACATTGGGGAATGAAAATGGCAGGGGGAAGGAGTGGGTGAAAAGGGTAATCGAGTTAAGGCTCTCCACCAAACACGTCATATAAGGCAACTAATGAGCAATTTACTGAAGACTCTCAGAAACATCATCCTGGCTGACTGGAAGCCCTTTGTAATATCTGCCTTGCACACAACCTAACCCGAGTGTCTGCCTTGCACACAACCTAACCCGAGTGTCTGCCTTGCACACAACCTAACCCGAGTGTCTGCCTTGCACAGAAGCTAACCCGAGTGTCTGCCTTGCACACAACGAAACCTGAGTGTCTGCCTTGCACAGGAGCTAACCCGAGTGTCTGCTAACATTCACAGGGTGACGGCCAGCCCCTGCTACACAAAGCTGTCCTGAGAGGAAGTGTTGGTGTGGTCCAGCTTCTGGCAGAAACACTGGTCTATCAGAGGAAGCAGAGGCTGGATTCTGTACGAGACCAGGTACTGTGATAAACTATATATATAGACAGGCCAGTTACCATGGTAAACTAGACCTGAGAGGTCAGTTACCATGGTGAAGAAGACGTAGACTTGACAGTCCAGGTAATGTGTAAGACAGACAATGACAGTTCTGCATGTGGTTTGGCTGTAGACATCAGGTGTGGAGGTTTTCTACGAATTGCATCTTGCAGCATCAATAGAAGTAATAGGATTGCTAAACATAGTAGCAGGAGTTGTGGCGAATAATAGTAGCAGGAGTTGTGGTGATGGTGATAAGTAGTAGTAGCTTCAATAATAGTAGAAACTGTAGTGACAGCATTAGTAACAGCAGTAGTCTATATAGAAGTGTGATTTTTTCATTGTTGAGCGACAAGTGTCAGAGATGTTTGTGACTGGCAGTATTTCAGGACGGCCCTTCACTATGCCTACGGGTTGGAGGATGGAAGAGATCTTGTCAACCTATTGCTGGACTACGGGGCATCTGAGTTCAGCGTCGATAAGGTAACAATGTACACGCGTGTTGTATCTTATAGTTTGTTAGATGGACAGAAAAACCACACAGCAGCCAGGGGCTGCTGGGGTTGGTTCTGCAACCTTCTGTAAAGGATGCACAACAAACCTAACTTTTACCTCGCAGCATCAGAACTGAAAGATATGTTCTGCCTGGT